CCATGTCTTCACCTGACGACTGATGGCCCTGCATTTATAAAAAAAATTAAATAAAAAAACATCTGTTGCATTAGAGCACAACCAAGTCATTTACAAAGCTAAGCTGGTGAACAATATCTATTGGCCTATATTGCCTTTGGTTTAACAACTCCTGTGCAGCTATGAAAAGATACATTTCGTTTTTTTCCCCCCTTTTTAACTTGATCCAGACATAACATTTTAATGAAGTTCTATTGCTTTAGTGAGCATAATAATGGGCCAGATTCATGAACATTAAATAAATTAAGAAATGTCTTAAGATCAATTCCACGAAGTTCGTAAGAATGTTCTTAAGTGCAATTCTTGAAAAACTCTTAAGTTCTCAAATATATATATTCTTAACAACATGTTCATTTTTTTGGAAATTCAAGGAAATTACGGTCTTTATCTGAGTGAATACATGACTGAAGACGCACTGATAATCTCACACTTGATTGTCTTTATGCGCTTCCTGCAGATTACCCTAATAATCTTAAACGCACACACTATTTTCATTGCGACCCTGACTGGCACTCGGCTTCACATTTTTAATGCACCGTGTTTTTGAACAGTTACTTTTATAGAGCCTGTCGATCTGTTTCATTCATTTTTGTGCTGTGTTTTTGCGCTCTCATCCAAGTGAACGCTTCCGGTATGTGCTACAGCAACATTCATATGCGCTGAATATTGCCAAAGATTATGTCATATTTATAAGCTAAAATTAAACTCCCTATCTGACTGGTTTTTGTAGAGTTGCTACTGAGTTTTGAAGTCATTAAAAAGTGGCGTCACACAGAGGCTAATCATGACCAATCATTGTTTACATTGTCAGTCATCATTGTCACTTCAGAGAACTTGTGCACATCACTATTAATAGTCCTACTATGTATTATATGTAGCTATTGTTGTTGTAATGCTTAAATTTAATAATTAATTTGAAATAACCCAATAAATTCATTAAATAATTCTTACTATTTGGGATTTAAGACAAGTCTGGGGCTATTCTAACTTTAAGAAGTTATTTACAATGATTTCTAAGAAGATTATTTTCAAGAATTTGAATTCTTCTTAAGTTTTGTCTTAA